TTTTTCTGGAAGGAACATCCGGCCGGCCACACAGAAAGTAAATTGAATGGAAGGTGTTGAACTGAATGGTAAAATAGGCGCAGTCGGTTTGTTTGTTGAAATGGTCGAAAGGGTTTAGGCGTATTAGTCGAAGCATCAGCGATTCCAAATAAATTCCATCCAAATGCATATTCTGGTGATATAGACGTAGACGAAATTGGTTTGGTTTTGTCGATTGCTGCGTTGCTTCCATTTGTCGATAAATTCGAGATGTTCGATAGTCGCATTAAAATGTGTTCAAGTCCAATTGACGTTTTGCCGAGTATCCATATTCCACTCTTCATCAACGCTTCAGGTCCGTTGCAGAAGTTGGCGCGTGGCTTTAAGAATAAGCGCCCATCGTCGTCGATCGGTGCCTCGTGTGAAGTATCAACGTTGTTGGTTGGGTACGTCGCACAGTTTGCCAGCAAGGAATATTGATCATGTCGTATACTCCAGATACATACCGCTTTGTCGTCTGTTTTGCTGTAATAATCGTGCATAGGTCCTCTGATATAAACTTTAGACGTGTTGAATACATGTAGTTTAAGTGGTCGTAGGTATTGGATAATCCCAATTACAGCTCGAAGAATAATGATTAAGCCAAACCATCCTGGATTCTTTGACGGGTTTGGTTCGCATATTGTTCTGCCGATCTTGTCGGTGTCGATGTTATCATTTATAGGCGAGAATTGTTGAGTTACATCCTGTCGATTCGATTGCACTGATACTACGATCGTCGGTGATGTTTTTAAATGTTGATGAATTGGTTTTGACGGTTCTTTAGACGTTTCTTCTGGATTAACTGAATTTTCGTGATTGTCGTTTTCTTTTGGTATGAGTGTCATTTTGCTTGTTGTCATTTCATTTGTTCTTGCCAAAGTATGTATACGAATGTCGTCGGATTGCTTCGACGGTTGAACACTATCAATTAATTCTTTGAGTTGCAAAGGTATGTTGTCAATACCCTCTTTTGGAGCTTCTGGTGGTTTTGTATGATCAATTGGTTCTTTGACGGAATAGCTAATTTGACTTCTTGAATCAAGGTGAACCATAGTCGAAACAGCTTCTTTCTGATTTTCTTGTGCGGTTACTTTGATGTCGGCAAATATTAATTCAGCTTTGTTGTTATTTGTTGCTTTGGGAATCTTTTTTGATTCTTCTTTAACTTCTTCAGATTCTTTTGATTCTTTTTGAGCTTGAATGACTGGTTGTGTACTTTCTTCTTTGACTTGACGCGAAAACATTGTTGTCGTAATACGCGGAAGGTTGAGCATTGTTGCATTCCCCTCTGTTACTTCTTGGTTTGGACGTTCATGTTGACTCGTTGGTGTTTGGCGTTGAAACACTTTTGAAGTCTCTTGTCGAAATGATTTTGCCGGTGGTGTTGGTAATTGAACAGGTAATGGTTGCACAGTTAGAGGTGGTGCATATGAAACAGTTTGAGTTGTTGAATAGCCGATCGTCGCCTGTGGTGGTGAGCAAATAAGGAAGTGATGGTCAATGCTTCCACACTGTCGGCACTCAAATGATCGTTGACATTGGTTTGTCGTGTGATTTTGCTGCAAACATTTCAAACATCGGCACTGTTCCAATAGACGATCCTTGCGTTGTTGAGGGGTTGAATATGTTGGGCATTGGCTGGGTTTGTGTCCAAAATTTGCACATAAGGAACATGATTGTTGTCGATGTTGTTCTTCAACGTTGATACAATTGTCTTGGTTGTTGGTGTTGACAAATACAGAGAATGCCCTAGTATCCTCCACATGAATTGGCTCCATTTGTCGTGGTATTTGTCGAAATTCTTGACGCATTTGTGTTTGTTCTGTTCTTGGTCGTCGTTACCATACTTCTTTTTCAGAATTTCCTTGACGATTTTGTAATTGTCGTCCGAAGGTGGATAACCACTAATCGCTTCTCTGGCTGCTGATCCTTCTTTAAGATATTGCAAAAGTAAGAGATGCTTCTGGAATGTTGGATATGGTTGTTTGTCGACAGCATGCTCAAAAGCAGCCCAAAAGGTACGCCAATCACGTATGTCGCCGCCAAATGTTGGTAGACGGACGCTATCGACCTTCAAAGCATCCCATAAAGGAAGCCCAAATTGCGGTTGTCGGTGTACATTTGCTTGAGTATAGTCGTAATTCTGACGTGATGTGTCACATTGAATTCCAAAACGCATTCGTCGATTTTGCCTCCAATCATTTTCTTCTTCTTCGTGTGAAAGCAATTGGCGTCTTTCTTGACGAAGAGGAGTTTGATTGTCGATCATGTTCGCTGATGTTGATCCTTGTACACTTGGCGCTCTTGGCGAATTATTGCTATTGCTGTCTGTAGTCATTTGTCGAATTACCCTGTATGCTTTGATGCGGTTGATAACTTCATTTGCTCTGTCGACCAATTTTGAGACTGGCCATTGCTCTGTATTTTCAAGGTTCTGGTCGGATAATTTGTCGTAAGTTAAGAAATTGGCGAGGTAGTCTGCATGTTCGTTCTGTTGTTGTTCGTCGAGGCCATCCATAAATTGATTGTATTTGTTGATTATTGCTTGGAGTTGGTTGGTTCGTTCTGTAAGATGGACTAGTTCCATTTCCACTGATGCTGCCAATTCATCCTCCTTCTCTATTGACGGTTTAGATTTAAGCTGGACGATGCAAGCTTCTGCGATTTTGAGGTGTTCGACGAGTGCTCGTGTCGTTCCATAAAGTTCTTGACGTATAATTCGTGCCATTGATGGTTGAGTCGGGGTTTGCCAATTAAAATTAATGTTGTACAGTTGGACGGCTTGTGGTCGCTGCACTTGCTCAACTAATAGTCGTTTGTTCTGCTGGGAATGTGGGTCTTTGTCGACGGCTGATCCTTTTGGCGCAGACGAAAATTAGTCGAAATGTGCCGACTGCAAAGGTCGGATTGGTTGTTGAATTTGTGTTGACTGATGAATGTCGACGGCTTTCCCGGGTCGTGGCACCAATTTTAACGAGAACTGCCTAGGTCGGGATTCCCGTGAGGGAACTAGGAGTTCAGCGTTAAAAGATAGTCGAAAGTGTGTTGAGGATGATGAGTGTCTTAATCCCAAAGATTAAGACGTGGCAAACCAAAAAGGATGTTAGGCGATTAGGCGAGGGTTGATGGATGGCCAAGTTTAGACGATAGACGAACAATTGAATATTCCCAAAGAATATTCACAGAATATTACCAAAAGAATAGCAAAAATACAAGAATATTTTAAATATTTATTTAATTAAAGAAATTATATAATTGTATGTGTGTGTGGTTATTTGAAAAGTTGGGAATGATTAAGTCAAAACTGATTATGTCAAAACATTTGTGGGTATGTAAAAAGTGTTATGTCAAAACATTTTATGTGTAAGTCAGAACTTAATATATGGGAAAAATGATTATGTTTAAATAGGCCAGAAACGGTGTGTGTGGTATGGAATGTGGGCAATTGAAAAAGGCATTAATTATTATATGTTTGCGGTTAAAAAGTTGGGCGGAAGTGGCAAAAATGGATGAAATTATTATTAAAAGATTGGAATTTTAGATAAAAATGGATAATTTCATCCATTTATGGAAAAGGTGGAAAAGAGCAAAATAGGCGATAACGATCAAAATGATGTCATACAAAAAAAGGAAAAATTAATTTAATAATTTTCATCCTTCGGCGAAAATTTCGAGAAATTTTCGACATTAAATTAAGCTCTTTTGTATAAACGAATATTTGGCCCAAGAAAATGCTTGATCCGCCGTTTAGTTTTCCAGCTTCAATAGTCATTAGAAATTTGTCACAGGTCTCAGAAACTCGTAATTTTTTCTAGTTGAACCTAGAACCGAGAAGATTTCCAAACACAACCTGATTATTTTTCATGGAAGTTTTTCCATGAAAGGAAGAAATCAAATCTCTTAAAGGGAAAAAAGAAAAAATCTTAGAAATCTTAATCCCCCAGTCGCTCCGAGAAGTCTGGCCTCTTGGTCAAATTTTTAACTGACTCAACCTGAAATCCAACTTGAGACCCAAAACCTGATCAGAAGAATATTTTGAAAATCCAGCCCAGAACCAGACTAGACATTTTCTCACCCCGTAACATCCTTGGTCTAAAGCTCAGTTCATAGTTGTCGGATCGACTTTGCCCATTTTTAATTAAGCTCAATTTTCCGTGTTTTTTCGAAGGACAACATAAGTATATCTAAATTGGATCACTGAGATGTTTTTGTTGAGACCTCAAAAAGACGAGCCAAACGATTAAGACTAGTAAATGGACCAAGACCAGACTTTGTGAATTAAATTTTATTTTGTTATGCCAATTTTGAATTTTTTAATGGAATAGTTATTGAAAATTACTGGTATTTAAGCCGAAATATCTAAATATACAGATCTTTCTAGGATATCTGGATATTATCTGGATTTGCCAACTCTAAATATTTTGTGTTATATTTAAAATATAGAAATTTTGTCTTTTAAAAGTACCAGAAAAGAAAAAATATAAAAAGAGGTACTCCGCCGACCAGAGGTGTTTCGAAATTTCGATTTTCGAGGGTTTTTTTCTTTCGATTTTCGAAATTTAATGATATTTTCGATTTCCGATTTTCGAATTTTTGAAAAATTTGAAAATCACCAGCTCTGGAGCTAAGATTTGAATAGGTCTGAGCCGGTGCCGTAGACCCGGATATGCAAAATTTTGGATTTGGATATCCGTGATTTCCCTGGATCTCCGATTCTAGTCATTAATTTTCCCCAATTCCTTAGAGTTCAAGCAAAGTATTTTCCAATTTTTTTTATTAAAAAATTTTTTTCGATTTCGAAGATTTTTTAAAATATTTTCGATTTCGATATTTTTGGATTTCCTTCGATTTTCGAAGATATTTTTGTTTCGAAACACCTCTTTTGCCGACTGAAAACCGATTTACAATTTTGTAAAACGGACAGTCAATTTTTTTGTAAACGGACAGTCAACTACAAATTCAACTCATCTAACGTTCTCTCAGCAGTTTCGAAGCTTCTGCACATAGTCTTGTATCTAAATTATTTGAATAATTTAATTCTGCAAACAATTTTCGTTGAATTTAAACAAAACTAACCATTTTAAGAAGCAAAGTATGTCTTTGAGGTGGAATAACATTACCCTCTTCAGTATTTTCCAAATCAACAATGTCAACATTTAAATATTCTCTATTATTTTTATTTTCTTCTTCAATTATATAAGCAAAATAAGGATTAATAACAAATTCTTCGAGTTTTGTTTTAAGAATTTTTTTATTAGCGATATTATAATAAAATAAATAGAATGATGTTGTTGGAAGTGTACTATATGGATCTAATACCAAATTTTTTTTTATAAATACACATTCATTAATATTTAATGAATTTTTAACCCGAACTAAATTTAAGAAAAAAAAATAAAAAAAAATTTTTTTTCTGTATTAAAAAACCTTTAGTTTGTAGGTAAAATAAAGGCAAATTAATCATAATATGTTCAAATTCTTCAATGGGAGAGAATATTGCCGGGTAGATTATATTTTCTTCTGACTCTGCTTCTTGCAATGTTTTTAACATTTGATCGCGCACTGAATTTAAATTTTGTTAAAAAAAATTTGTTTCGCTTCTAGGAAATTATCCTCTCTAAATTCATAAATATTGACAAACCCCAAAAATTGTCATTCTCCCCCCCCCCCCATCCTTCACAAATATGTCATTCCCTCTCCCATATATGTCATCCCTTCTTCTCCAATCAATTTTTTATTAATATGTGCATAATGGTCAGTCAAAATCTTTAATTTAAACTTACCGTATTTGCTCTAATAATCCCCCAGGGGATTATTGTTTCAACCCATCTCTAAGGTGGGGAATTAATAGAATGGGGTAGAAAGAGGGGGATTATTTTTTCAACCCATCCGTGGGGTGGGGAATTAATAGAGCCTGGGGAATTATTAGAGCCTGGGGAATTATTAGAGCAAATACGGTATTTCCAATTTAAAAAGCTAACCAAAAGAATATCCTTCGTATTCAAATTCAACACTATTTAAATTAAAAATGTCCAATTTCTTTAATAAATCCATAAAATAATTTGCTTTTACTTCAAATATATCATAAGCTTTAAAATATTCAACAATTGAAATCATTTGGCTAAAAATTTAAATAATTAAATAAAGGAAAAATTTTTAAAATTTTTTACTTCCATTCAGATAACAAATCGTTATAATGTTTGCTTTGACTTTGAAATAAAATAAAAGAACGAATTAAATTCCTAGCAAATCCAAATAAATGCCAAAGAATGAAAATATTTTTTTCAACTAATGTTATGTTTATACATTTTTTGTAAAGTTTAAGAAACATATCTTTGCTTAATTAATTTATAAAAAATAAATTTAAATTATAAATAATGATTCAATACCCTTTTCAAGTTTAATTAATGGGTAGAAATTGGAAAGGGTATTGAATTATTTAAGGATTAAAATTTATAATTCTCAGCCTTGCTGGCAATCCCAACTGCTAGACTTAACTTAGAAACTGAGCTACCGGGCGGCAACTTTTCTAGTTTATGAATCCAACGTAGCCAAAAATTTTACGTGTTTATGATTTCAATGGAGGGTGACAAATTAGAGGAGAATAACTAAGAAAGCAAAACAGAGGCTTAACATAGAAACAACAGTGAGCATCTTAAACTAAGCTTAGAAACTTCCAAGGTACCAATAAAGACCTTAAATTTTACCCAAATTTACCTTAAATTTTTTATTTCATCTTTAGCTTCATCAATAAGATCTGTCAAATCATCCCCAGGTTCATATAACTCTATTTCCAGCTCTATTCCAACCCCTTCAAAAAATCCATCTAAAGAATCCACTGTCATTGTATTGCTTAACAAATCCAATCTTTTATAAATAAATTCAATTGGAGCTTCTGGTCGGTTATTCAATATTAAATGGAAACGTTGTTTTAAGAATTTCTTTAATAAATTGTCGTAAAATTGAATAACCTGGTTTTAAATTAATAATAAATAAAATAAATACAATAATTTCATAATTTGTTCAAATTATTTATAAATTACTTAAAAATCCCATACGTTCAAATTTTTATTGACTGAAAACTCTCCTTAAACTAAACTCATTCATAAGGTGAGGTCAAGTCTGCTAATGGTTACGTATTTTACTACCAGTAACCGTGTATATCAGTAGGGCTAAATATAGTCTCACTTCAATTATCCTTATAATATTCATGCTGTGGAAAAATTCATTGAATGGGAGATGGAATAGAACCATCCTGGATTAACCCCAAACCGAAGCACAGCCGACTGCTGAGTTATTTAGCACAGCCCGATGCTGGGTTATTTATTTTCATTTTATATTTTTTCTGCAAGTGCGGACACAAAATCTGCATGCGGTTATCCTCGTATATATCCGCATATTCTCAAAATGTTCAATTCTACAAAAATTAAAAATAATTCCAAGATCGAAAAGCTTCCCGAACTTATGTAACTCCAATGTAAAACGTACTAAATATATTTCCTAAAATGTAGTGCACTCTTTGATATAAGTCTTAGTTTTTGAGTTTCTTTAATTTGAACCAAAAATATACCTTTTTAACTTTTTTGAATACATTTTCGATCAAGTTACTCTTAGAAATTATCTCAAAATTTTTCTCATGTTTTGCCTGATCTCTTACTCCTAATGCCGTTTCTTCTTTCACCCTATCCAATACCTCTTCTTTACAATTTCGAATTAGCTCTAGAAGTCCTTTTTCATAATTTTTGGTTATTTTAAGTTTATCAACTTCAATCAGAATTCGAACAAGAAATGACAATTCAACAAGAGAAAACGTCATATTTGGAGATATTGAGTCAATTAGAGTTGTTGGATGGCTGGGACTATGCGGAGAACTTGGACCTTCTACTATACCTTTTCCTTTATCACCTTAAATAGCTTTAGCGATTAAAATAATTTTCAGTGAATATCAGGTATTGACTTTTAGAGCTGTCCAAAACTCTTGGTCATGAGTCTTGAATCAAGACTTTTCTTGGGTTCTTTCGTTCTTGGTCTTGTGTACACACTCCCTAATGACTGAAAAAAAAGTGAAAAGCGAAGGATAGTATGTAGTAGTGTTCCGCCGGAAGTTTCGGTTCCGGTAGGCCGGAAGTCCCGGGATTTTTTGGTTCCGGTTACGGTCCTTCAGTTCCGGATCCGGTTCCGGGCCTTCAGTTCCGGTTAAACCGGAAGTTTTTAACACCCCTAAGGATCGCCTGCGTTACAGAAAAAGGAAGATTTTTGGCTTAATTATCATCCAAAGTTTTCAAATTTTCGCCTGCGTTACAGAAAAAGGAAGATTTTTGGCTTAATTATCATCCAAAAATCTCAAAATCTTCGCCTGCGGCACTGAAAATGGAAGAATTCTCAAAATTTTTGTCTGCGGCGCTGTAAACGGCAATTGAATAGTATATCGAGGGATTTGGACGGATTAAGTTGGATTTTGAGTGATTTCGATGAATTTCAAGGGTTCATAGTTAATATTAGAGATCGGACAAAAAACACCTGTTCGATATTTGTCTCTCTTATGCTTATATGTTACGCTACATACTCTCTCGTTCTGCGTCTATGCAAATATCGAAAAATATCGAAAAGAATGCACTGAGTTATTGAGAGAAGAAAACTGCGCATTTTACCGCGCTTCTTTCTCTAATGTTATTTATAACCCAGTGCATTCTTTTCGATATTTTTCGATATTTGCATAGACGCAGAACGAGAGAGTATGTAGCGTAACATATAAGCATAAGAGAGACAAATATCGAACAGGTGTTTTTTGTCCGATCTCTAGTTAATATCGAGGGATTTGGGTGTGATATTGAGGGATATTGTGGTGTAGGGTAGATACAGGTATGGATATCTGGGGATTTGCCTTCCAAAACTGGGCATTTCTAACTTGGCCTTCCGAAATTAACAAAATTTTCGCCTGCGGCGCTAAATATCAAAATTTTTGCGTTTCCGGCGCCAAAAATTATTAAAATTTTTTAAATTAATTTATTAAAAATTTTTTAAAGAAAGTTCCGGTTCCGGCTCGGAACCAAAAAATTAGATCCGGTTCCGGTCAAAATTTTAGTTCCTGTTCCGGTTCCGGCCAAATTTTCGGTTCCGGCGGAACACTAGTATGTAGGTGTGAGTAAAAAATGAAGAAAAAGTTGAGATGGTAAAATAGATTTTCTTTCATTTTATTACACAAGGATGTGTGGTCCAAAATCCCGATCCCGACAAAATGTCGGGATCGGGACGACTCAATATAATTCTAAAATTTTTGCCTAAAAATCCTAACTCTAGTAATAGTTTGTATATTATTTATTTTAATAAAGAAAACGATACGTGAATGTTCCATTCCTTTTATCATTTTAAAATAAAAGGAATTTGTTGAAAAAAATAAAATTAAATAGTAAATATTCATTTTTAATTTTAAATAAAAATTTTTTTTAAATATTTTTGAATGAGGAGAGGGATATAGAGGGAGTGGAATTAATTAGAGGAGGGAAAATTAAATTAATTAGTAAAGCGATAGTCAAGCGCCTCTTAAATTTATCGAATTATGGCAATCAATTTAAATATTTTTAATAGCTGTAAATTAAATATTATTAGTGAAGGGGAGAGGAATTGATTGAAGGGGAGAGAGAGACTCCATGTTTTTGGTATGTTTTATGGCTAGTTTTGTTTTTAAAGAAATGAATTTTTTAAACAAATAATTTATTTTAATTCAAAAAATTATTCTTTCTAGTTTTTCTTATCAAAATTCAAGATCACTACTACACCCTTAGATTGAGAACCCAAAAGAAAATTTATTTAAGTATAATTAATCAGGAATATAAAGTAAAATTTATTAGGCTACATTCCTTAAAATCCGCACAAGCTCTCGTCCCGCTATTTTCAATTTTAATCTTTTTATTCTAAAAGTAAATTTGAAAATTTCTATGCTATAAAAAAATAAAAATAATGCAAATTTATTAATTTGTTAAATATACATATTTGTGAAAAAAATTTTTTTACTAAAAATCAACTGCATATTTTTTCTGAATAATTCTCAAATTTGTCCATCAACAAACAATTTTTTAAATTGGTTCAACCTTGAAATTATATACTCTTTAAATCTAAAAAAATTGTATGTAAAAATGAGGGTTTTTGGAAGTTTTTGGGGGTTTTTTAAATTTATTTCTGAGGGGTTTTTATAAAATGAATTTTTTATAAAATTATTTTTATTTTTTTTATTTTTGACAACATTCAACTCCTTTAGTAAAGTTCAAAGATTTATCCAATTCTTTATAACGTTGTACACTATATTTCACTTTTCTTCTAGGATGATCAGCGTGAGAATGTGGAAGGAATTCTTCTCCTAAATTTATAATTATTTAATTTTTATTTTAAAAATCTTTGTGACAGAATCTCGAACTACTCAACTTTTTTGAGTAGTAAAAAAGTAACTACTAAAGTAACTACTCAACTTTTTAAACTATTTAAAAAATTTTTCTTTCTTCGGCATAAATCACTTGAGGGGAAAAATATTATCATTTTTAGTAAAAGTATGGGAAGACTTTGAATTTAGATAACTCCAAAATTATATACACAAGGATTTTGTAAATTCCTAGGATAACGGAAATTGACTTCATTGTGGATATAAGTTAATTAACCTTCTAATTTTTCTAAAAAATTGGCTGAACTTTTAAATTTAATTTTAACTCAAATTTTTAAAATTAAAATAATTTTGATAAAAAAAATTTTTATTTCGACCGATCCCTGTAGTAAATAATTTGCTGGTATTACAATTCCGTTTACTTTTTTTGTTTTTACCTGTAGATAAAATTGAGCGCTGATATTCCCCGTTAACATTAATAATTCCAAAAACACTTTGATCGTATCTATGACAAGTACCAATAGTGTTATAATCTGATGTGCAATTTATATAAGAATAATCTGGCTCTATACATTGTTTTGTTGCGGCACAAAGAAGTGCCCTTTTAATTAATTAAATATTTTTATTAGGTTATATAAGAATCTTAATATTGCCCAAAAATATTTGAGGGTTATTATAAACAGAATTTACATTCTGAAAGTCATTTTTTGCAAATTTTCTCCTCAAGTACAAAAATTGAAAGGAAATTTTTGATAATTCTAAATAGAAAACTTTACCATTTAAGTAATTTTCTTGTATATTCACTTTTATGCATTATATTAAAACCCGCTTCATACATTTTATTATCCCATTGAACTAATTGAGATACCAAAGGGAGGTATGAATAAGTTCCTTAAATTTAAATAATATTTAGAATAATCAAAAATATGTATAACTTACGAAAATTTGTTCCAAATTGTATACTGTGGACTGATGCTGAAATTTATTTGGAATTAAATTTGGAAAAAAATTTATTTGGAATCATTTAAAAGAGTGGAGATTTTAATAGGGTAGAAGTAAATATCGAGAAGTTGGTTGGTTTTCGAAGGATTGTTTTTCTGCCTTAAAAATTTACTTGCATACGCTGCTTGGCATAAAATTCGTACTCGTTCTTGGTATACCAAGTACGGATATGAGCAAAAAATCTGTTTATTCTAGTACGAGGCCAAAGTTACGGGTGGTACGAAGTAAGAGCAATTTTGAAATTTCCCAACAATAAATCAATCAAAATCTCCAATCGAAAATAATCAAATAATCGTCAATATTTTACCTCCAAAGAAAATAGCTTCAGATACTTTTCCACCTTTAATACCCTCAAAGACTGGGTCAAGGGATTTTGCTTCATCAATAACTATTGAAGTATCCATGTAGATAAAAGTATCATATTGTGAATATATTTCCTTTAATCAAAAAAATTTTAGAAAATATTTAATATGTATATTTACAGCTAAAATAAATATCTTCCAAGCATAGGCTTTTGGTGAATGGATATCCTCTTTTATAATATTCCAATCAAATTTTCTCCATTCTAGTAAACAAACAGAATTTATATCTTCCATCTTTTAATAATTTAAATTTTAGAAAAATATTTTTAAGGTACGTAATGAAGAGGGATTAGGGGTATCTCACTCAAAAACCTCGAGTTAGAATTTAACAAAAGTTTGTTATTTGACAGGATCTAAACAAGGCAACAAAGCCCTAAAATCTCTCAAAAAAATAATTCTTAAGAGTAATACCTACATCCACATTCCGAATTTTAAAAAAATGTCAACTAAAATAAATAAATATTTCCGCCTAAGAGTTTAAAAGGACCCCTTTATATTAAATAATAATTATTAAAAATAAATTTATTAGATAATTAATTATCTTTATTACCATAGTCTTATTTTCACTAATCCCTCCAAGATCATAACCAATTATTTTTTGAGAACATCCAAATTGTTCTTTAATAATATATAAAAGTTTTCTCAACGATTCGAAATACTTAACGTTAGAGCCAGTTACAATTGTGAAATCTTTATCTCCTGGCTTTTTCACCTTTTAATTTAACAAAAAAATTTATTTTATAGAGTTTAGGGCTTTTTTATACACATATTTTAATTGAAATTTTAAAAAAAATTCAAAATATTTATTATAATTAGGGTTGGGGCCCGGTATGGTTCTGTTCGAAAAATCCAACCCTAATTATAATAGTCCATAGTGTTCTTCCGGTTTCAGGAACTATGAGTTGTCAAATTTTGGACCTCCCAGAAGTGGAACCACGAAAGGCCTGTGAAAGAGACGACTAAGTTTTAAGACTCCCTATCTAGGTATTTGTTGAATGAAAATTCCGGTGGCTAAACTTTTGCTCAACTCTTTCTGTATAAATAATTTAATTTAAAAATTTAAACTAACGGGTATTTTTTGTTGAATTTTGTATTTATCAGCAAGTTTATATGTGTGAAGTAAGGGTAAATGTTTACAATCAAATCTTTTTCCACTCATTAAATTTTCAGTTAATTTTTCATTTGTTTGGACAATAAATGAATATGCCATTTTCTCTCCACAACATTCTAAACTCCATTTTGAATCGTTTCTAAGTTTTTAAAAATAAATATTTATTGTTATAATTGTTAGTACACAATTTATGTATACATATTAAGAGATTTTCTCGATTGCTTAAAAAATTTTTTAGGTTTCCTAAACAAGGATGTGTGTAATTGTAAAGAAAAAATATTTTATTGTTTTTCAATAAAATTTTTGCGAATTGTGAATTTTCCTGTTTATAACGGATCGCAATAGACGTCTGAGTGGCAGTATTTGGAAGCTCGTACCAAAATCCGTACTCATACTCGTACCTGTGTACGAGTACATCCCATTCAGCAGTGTTTGATTTCTAATTTTTTTTAGAAAAAATAAAAATAGATAAAAAATTTTTGGAGGGAAAGAAAAATTTTATTTATAAAAAAAATGTTTGGAATTTTCAAAATTCCAAACACTGCTGAATGGGAGAGGGAATTCTTTTAAGTTTCCCATCCCTTTTTCTAGCCTTTTTGGAAAATCCGGGAAGAGACATGAAAGGACTAACCTATTCTTCTCACTTTCAATACATTCCTCCAACAAACTTTTTCTCTCAAAAATTAAATTAGATGTATTAATTAAATTTTTATTTAAAAAATTTTGAGAATTAATAAAAATATTTTTATTTGGCCATTTTTGTATTAAAAAATGTAAGCAAAAAATAAAAGTTAGTAAAAATAATAAACAAAAATATTTTGCTGAATATATTTTATTGTTTGAAATAATTTTTCCATTTAAATTAATTAGTGGAATATAATACATTTTTTTGTATTTAATTTGAAAATTAATTTTAATTTTTATTTATCTTAAATTTAAATTTAAATTAAATTTAAAAAAATTTTTTGGGAGGGAAAGAGGCTTAAATAATTTTAGGGGATTTCTAATATTTTTTAGAAAAAATAAAAATAGAAAAAAAAATATTTTTGGAGGGAAAGAAAAATTTTATTTATAAAAGAAGCAACTTTTGCTATTAAATATTTTTTAGGTATAATTTTTTTATTTAATTATCATTTTATAATTTTTAGGTATAAAAATTGCCTTAAATGTTTACCCACCTTACTAAAAATGATTAAATAAAATAATCTAATTTTGGCTTTAGAAAAAAATTTTTTTTTAATTTATGGCTATAGCATAAGCTACAATTTTTAAATGATTTAAATATTACGAGACTTTAAGTAATTTAAAGTGTTGGAATTTTTAAAATATTTCTATACATTTTTGTTTGCTTTTTAAATTGCCCGGTATTTGTAAAGATGGCAAGCTCCAACACATACGTATTCACTCAAACCAGAGTTGCGTCGTAATCGAAATTTTTTTTTCGTAACCGTAATTCGTAATTTTAAAAAAATTTTCGTAATCGTAATTCGTAATTACGACGCAACCCTGACTCAAACCTTTCTAAATAAGATATATTTTGAGTTTCTGAATCCCCAAAAAATTTTTTTTCAATTTTAATTTTTAATTAATACACAAAATTCTAAAACTGTTTATTAACATAAACCGGTAAAAACTCTTCGCGAGTTTTAAAACAAATATGAGAAATCAGAGAAGAGATTAGCTATATTAAAAATTGAATAGAGGCATTTTAGAAATTAAATTTTTAGTAGATTTAGAAGAATTTTTTGTTTGGAAGGATCTTTAGTTCCTCGAAAAAAAAATTTTTTTAGAATTTGAACCAAATGCCTTTCTTCAATAAACACTAACAAATAATAAGAGATTTATTTATTTATAATTAATTTATAATTCTTTTCAAGGAGAGTCTGTAGTAGAAGTCAAAAAACGTTCATTAAAGCTATCTAAAGTAGACGTCATAAAGGTGATTTTATTCCTTAAAAAATATTTTTTTTAATAAAATCTCTCCCCCATCCCCAATTCCCCCTCCAAATACCTACTTTATTGTATTTATCGATCCCAGCATTTTCTCTACATTATCCATTTTATTTTTTGTTTGTTCAATTAAATCTTTCATTTCATCATAAAATCCACTAAAAACTTTTCTAAGCCCTCCACAAACTCCATTCAATTCTTGTATAACTTGTTGTTCACATTGACCGGTGTGAATACTCTCAACTTGACGAAGACTTGAAAACAAAAAATTTTTTTTTAAATTAATTTAAAGAAAAATAACCGTTGTTCTAAATGCTGTCTAAATTGACTTTTAAGACGTTCCTCTTTAGCCCCATTATCCCATCGAAGTCGTTCAAAACAATAAAAACCGGCAACGGCACCAACTCCAGAAAGAATCCAACGCCAATCAACATTTTTATAAACCTGAAAAAAATTGTTTTTTTTTGTTAAATTTAAAGAAAATTAGAATCTAAAATTCAAATTCATTTGAAAAAAAGTAAATTTTCCAACTAACTAGACCACAAGTTTTCCCTATAATTATTCAAAAGAAAACAAACTACAAGTCCAGCAATTGTTACAACAACAGAACCATTAACCAAATAAGTTGCCGATTGAACTAATAAATTTGCCAAAAACATATCAACTTCTTGTTTATTTGGTTGATGTTGACTACTGGTTCCCGCTCCAATTCCAGAACTTGAACGAGGAGAACCAAGTTGCTTCAGAAAAATAAATTAGAATTTGTCAAAGAAAAATTTTAAAAATTTTACAAGAAAATTCCTGTCAATTGCAGTTATCGGCTGTCCACGAGTTATTGAAAGAATTTTTCGTGCAATACTTTCAATTCCCAATGAAAAACGAAATTCCAAATCTTCGTGGAAGTCTGCAACCATTTTTGGACATTCTACTGATATTACAAATTTAAAGGGTAGTTTGTAAAGCCAAATTTTCTCAAGTTCCAAAGCGTGGGATTCATCAACAATTTGACGAATACAAGCTAAAAATAATTAACTTTTTTAGATATTAAAGGTAAAAATTACTTAGCATAGAATTCTCCAACGTCCATATTCGCGTAATTAAAGCTCCAGTACATTGATTTTGTAATTCCTCAGTAAGAACATCGTTTACATAAATGGCCAACTCCTTAAAATTTTAAAAGAAAAAAATATTTGGATGAATTTATGTTTAAATATAAATCCTCAAAAAAAACATTCAAACCCGTTTATATTCCTGAATAGACACTGGATCATCTACAAATGGATGCTTAAAATGATCTACAATCGCTTCTAAACGTGCAACTTCTTCCTCAAAATCGGAGGAAACTTTCATATGAACTTCAGAACGCATTTTAGATTGTTCTTCAGTGAATGTTCTCTCAAAACTCTTAAACTTTTTGGCACTTTCTTCATGTTCTTTTGATTTAAGTTGAAAATCAAGAGCTAGACGTTGCCTGAAAAGACGCAACATAAATTGTAAAAAAAAACAAAAAACCCAACTTTTCACGGACAGCAGCGCCCATAGTTGCTTCCAAATTATCTAGCATAGCAAAAACAATTTCACGTGCTCGCCTACTGTGAGCGTCAAACTTTGTATGAATTGCAGATTGTGAAATACATTTTTCAAATTGATCTTCGAATTGGCTGAATTCGCGAGCTCGTTGTTTATGACCTTCCAACAGGTGAGCTACAAAATGAGGCAAAGTTAGAACAACAGAAAACAAAATAAAAACAAACGATTTCTGTTTAATTCACCACGATCAAACAAACGCTGGTCCAACATTTCCAAAGCAGAAATAAAAAAGAAACGTTTATCAGCTTCTTGAGGCGTACAAACTTGGAGTTCAGAAGAGAGAAAATGCTTGAAACGGCTTTCATGTTGGCCGCGAATCTTTTTTTTTAATTTTATTTAATTTAAAAAGTTAAAAATTACTTGAAAACGAATTTCATCAGATTCAGAAGCACTCGCATCCCAACGATTACAAAGAATGAAAATATTTGGTTTTGAGAGTTTTTCACTGACACGAATAAAAAAATTCTTTTCCTAAAAATTTAAAAAAAATTTTTCATTAAAAAATAAAAATATAAAAAATTAACCGCTTGTGTTAATGTAGCCTCAGAATTGCAAACCAAAACAAAAACATCAGCATCCAAACAATGTTTATCAATCCATCCATCAAATTCTGGACTTAAATCGACTCCAGGACTAAAATTGATTTAAATTTATTAGGAAATAAAATTAAGACCTGTCAACAATAGCCAAATCATTTTGGAGAAGTTTTGAAGCAGATTTTGGGTAGATAATACGAATTAAAGAATCAGTTCCAAGGGAAGTATTTCCAGTATTTCCTAATGCATGTCCAACCTTATGCTAAAAATTTAAAAATTTTCTTACTAAAGAATATTTTTGTATATTTTATTGGAATATTTTTTGTCAAGGGAATTTTTAGTCTAAAATTCAGAAAGTCAGTTTCTAAATAGAACACAATATTTCAAATAATCCTGATGTTTACAGAAATATTTTAAACAATTTTTAAACGATTTCTAAAATTAATTCAAACAAACCAAATCTCCAATAGGAATTTTCTGCTCCTCCGCATTTTCAATAACAAAATATTTTTCATTTTCCTGACCACCTTCAATTTGTAAAAAACAGCAAGTTGTATGTCCCATTCCTTGAGGAAGTATTTTTGAAGACAACATGGCGTTAATAACGCTGCTTTTTCCATTACTGGTTCTAAGAGGATGAAAAAAACTTTTAAAATTAATTTAAACAAAAAACCTTCCAAAGAAGACAACTTTCATTTTGTCACGTCCAACCATTTCTTTTATTGTTTTAATAGAATCTAAATAACGCTGAACTTCAGAAAGTTGACGGGGAGGCACAAATTTTTTGTTATCAACATCGAGTTCTAAAAAATTAAAACAAAATTATAAAAAACTTTAAATTAAAGAAACTCGAATAAAAATTAGACATCTCCCCCATACAGCTCCCTATATCATTGTAAATATCAGACATCATTTTCTTTGCCTCCCCGAAACGCTGCAAAGGTTCATTGTCCGGTTTCTTCAATCCTTTGCCTCAAAATTATATTAAAATTTATTTTTAAAAACAAAAAAAGTTAACCTTTACGTTCAGCTCCAGCACTAGCTGTTAAATGAGATATTGAAGCAGCCATTTTATTTAATTAAATAACTTAAAATAAAATTATGTCAAAAACTAAACTTTAAAATATTTTAAATTCTTAGACGCAATTAATTAAAAAAAGGTGGAACTTAAAACAATAAACAAGAACAATTGTTCATAAATGACGTAAAATAAAAGAAAAATGATAAGAAAAATTGCTTGGGACCAAGAACGAAAAAAAAGAAAAATAAAAAAATTTTGGGACAAAATGTCATTTTTAAAAAATAAAAATATTTTGCCAAAAATATTTTAATTTAAATTTTTTAAACAAAATTATGAAAATTTCGAAATTTATTCTCCTTTGTTAACCAAACTTTAGCGAAATTGGATGATTGAAGGTGTCGCGTGTCATTCTCCGTTGTCTTTTTTCTTTAAACAATTCATAAAAATGTGTAAAAGTTTACATTTTTCTTCCATTTAAATTATTTAATTTAACCTTTATTTTAAAAATATTATTCATTTTTTAAGATAAAAATCTTTTTTTGGTGGGAATTTAGTTAAATTCGCCGAACACTCTTATCTCGTTTTTTATAGAATTAAAAATCCTTTTTAATTTTAAAAATCAAAATAATTATTTAATTACATTTTCTAGCCCATTAAAAAAAATTTTTTTTTACAATTTCCAATTATATTTAATACCCAATTTTTATTTATATTTATTTAATGTTTAGCTTATTTTATTCCATATTTTCAACAACAACGAATTCATTTTCTCCCCCATTAAAAATTTTTAACTCTTCAAAAAATCCCAGAAATATTGAAGGAGGGAATGCACTTTTTATGGATGTATTATTGGAGGAAAGCACTGAGGAGATTGTTTTAAATGACGCCGAATTACAATTTTATGGATTAATTAGAAGGCATTTAGTATGTTTTTTTTGGAATTTATTTTAAAAAAATTTCTTTTTTTTCAGATATGCCTTATAGTTTTCACATTTTTTTATGCTATAAGCTTTTGTTTGATAAGATATATAAAGACGCGGTCGGATAATGACGGTTTATATTTATTTTTTTCCTACGATTTAAAAATAATTTTCAGAACTTTATGCAGGAGACGAAGATTATTATGTTTACCGCATCTCGTATATTTTTTTGAAATAATTTTTTTTTATTTTAAAAATTTTAGTACTTGGATATGTGCAAATTCCCTTTCAATTTCTATCGGAGCCGTAACTCTTTTGCCATTCTCTGTTTTGGGCGCGGAAGTGTTGCAACTTTATCCTGACAATTTTTATTTGAAATGGCTCAATTTTTCTTTAATTAATACACTTTGGGCTTATGTATTTTTATTGAGTAATTTGTCTTTATTTGTGCTGCTCCCTTTCTCATACTTCTTTATTGAGGTTTTTCTTTAAATTAAATTTTTATTTTTTTGTTACCTTTAATTCCTAAATTTTAGATTCCCAAAAAAATTTTCATTTTTAGTCTCAAGGTTTTAGCCTAACTCTTCGTCTACAAACATTGTCAGGCTCAATTGGACATCCATTACTTGCCAGGTTTTACGAGGCTTTAGTTGTTTGTTCTTTAGTTCTTGTCATCCTCGTTGGTATTGCTGATTGTCTACATGCACATTTGTTTGCACGGCCATCGAGAATTTGGTTTTTTAAATTTATAATTAATTTTAATAAATAAAATTGGAATAATTTCTCTAATTTATTTTGGGATAAAATTTTTTATTGGTTAGTTGACTTATTCTGATTTTTCACCTAAACACGTAATTTTCATCTAAACCCTTATTAAAGTTTTCAATAGTTTATTGTTAGTTTAAAATAACAAAAACTTTAAAATTTTTTATTTTTAGGTACACATTGTTGTATTTCTCTTCACTGTCAGCGCCTCTTCTCTATTCATTAGCTTCTCTATTGGGTGTTTTTCTTTTGTTACTTTCAGTCCCATTAGGATTTGCTCGACTTTTTGATATATTCTCATTAATGTTGATGACAAGGAATCAAATAAGATTAAAATCTGAAGGAAAACGAAAAAGTTTGGACGAGCCTTTTGATTTGAATGGAATTTATTTCGACGCTATAAATCCTGAAAGGTTTTCTTAAATTCAATAATTGAGGATTATAAATTTCATATGGCCCGTGCTACGAAGATGGAATGGGGAAAAGGAAAGAAATTACGGCCTTCCAAAATTCTTAGAATTTAGTAATCCCCCCTCTCACGTAATTTTTCTTGGCTACGGGTCTGACTTTGTGGTTCTCTTTTTTATTTCAACAGTGGAAACAATACCAAAAATTAAAATACATTTGAAAAATTTTCACAAATTTTTAATAATTTTTCCCTTCTAAATAATTTTTTGTTTAATTTAAAATTTAAATCAATTCCCAGATTACAACAAATAACTATCGCCCGTAAAAATAAATTTGGAAAATCCTCAACTACTCAATATTCTCTTCACAATGGTTATCATCAACAACGAGATTCAATTCAACCAACAACGAATAATCAAAAAAATTTAAAATTAAATAAGTCAACAAAAACAAGAAAATCAACAACTTCAAGCATTCCCTCCAACAGAAAACTTTCAATAAATTCTCATCCAAAAACAAAATTATTTTTAATAAAAGAAATATTCTCTAAAAATGCTGCTATAGGAGGAAAAATGTTTACAACATTTTTTGTGCTTATTTCCTATTATTTAGGCAATATTAAAAGATTTATTGATTTTCTCAAATATCCATTGATTATGTTTATTCTTTTTGCTTTAACGGTTAGTTTTTTTTATTTTTTAAAAGAATTTTCTGATTACTAGGGTTGTTCTTCGTCCCCGAAAGTCGGGGAATTTGAGAAATTTTTTGAAAATTCCCCGCCTCCCCCTCCTTAAAAAAAGAAGAAAATTTTCACCGTCTTCATTCTCCGTGGCGCTGCCTCCCCGAAAATTTATCCCCTTGGCCCCCCTCCTCCTTCGGGGAACAACCCTACTGATTACTCTCCAAAATTTGATTTTTTAAATAAATCAAAATTTCAACTTAAATTTTTTAGGTTATTTCTATTTTAATGGTTATTTGTAATACACTTCAACTTTTATTTGGTTTTCGCCATTTGCCAGCATATGTTCAATATGTTGAAGAATATAGACATACTTTGGGAATTTTTGGGGCAATTATAGAAGTCACAATAATTTTGTAATATTTTTTTATTTAATTTTTTATTTAAAAATTTACTAGATATATTATGTTATCTTCTTTAATTGGCCTCTATTCAATTCCTTTTATTAAAAGAATTTATCCTCATAGAGGAAAAACATCCCTTACATCGATTATAATTAATTGTATGTTGATCTCAATTCTCAGTGCTGCTTTGCCTATTTTAGTCAGAACTTTGGGTAAAAGAATTTTTTTTGTTAATTTTTTTATTTAAAGGCATTACAACTTTTGATTTGTTGAGTGGATATGGAAGAATTAATTGGATCTCAAATTTATCTCTAGTCCTTAGCTATAATATTCTTTTTGCTGGTGCTTCGATTTATTGCATAATATATAAATTTACTGGACCAGTGAGGAGGGAATTGATAAGACGGTACCTTTATTATTTATGAAAATTAAAGATGTATTTTGCATCATAATAAAATTTGGTAGAAAAATGGATCACTGTGTTGACTAGAGATCCGGCTGGGAGCGTCGTACGAAAATCGGGATCTCGAAAAGTTTTCAATCTCGATTACCGAGATTTTTGATCGAGATCTTGTCTCGGTTCTTTCTCTAGTGTTGACGATACCTTTTTCTAGTGTGCAAGAAATATTATACAAACCTTACAAAAAACATTTATGTTTGGACCACAAACTCCTCTTGCAAGACTTAATTTAGATAGCTATCCTTTCATAAATAAATATAAATAATTTAAAAGGTTCTTAATTTTTTTCATTTTAAGGGTCTACACAATTGTAAATAGAAAACGTTTTGATTATCCTGACGAGGAAACTTCTATTTCCAATAATGCTGTTTTTATTGACCCTTTAAAAACAGAAGTCAAATCTAGAGCTTTTATTGAATCTAGTAAAAAGAAAAATGATTAATTTGTTTTTTTGATGATTTTTGATCTCTTTATTTAAATTTATTATTTTTATATTTTAATTTTTTGACACGAGAGAATTCTATTCACTGAAGAAATGTGCAAAGACAAAATTTGTGTAATCCATTTTATTTTTTTAAAAATACATATTGAAATTAATTTTATTTTTTCTACTTTTTAATTTCCTGGCATTTGACACCGAAAAAAACAAAGTTTCCCTTTGGGATCGGCAAAATTTTCTTGTTTTGTAAATTTTTGTAGTTTAGCGTGGCGATGCGGAGAGAGTATCGGGAATAATATTCCAGAAGATGATTAATAAAGCTTTTCAGCTCTATCTTAGGACACACGTCCCTTTAACTTTTATGCGTCCCATGAAAGTATATACGTCCCATAAGGTAGATGCGTCCCTATAGGTAACGTGTAAATTCAATTTTACTTATGAATTAGCCGAGTGCGAGACGGATGAATGGAGGGAGGGGGGAATCTGTCAATTTTTAAAGTGTATTCGTGGCAATGTAAAAAATTTTTTCTTTTAATAAAATTTATTTATTATTGCTTTTAAATTTTTTTATTTTAAATTTTTATAATAATTTTTAAATTAAATATTTAGCATTTAATTATGTCGAATTTGTATGGCATTACCTATTTTTTCTTGAAATACATAGTTAACAAAGTGTGAAAAGCTTAAAAGGGACTTATTATTATTTTAAGACCTTTTCAATCTATGTATTTTTGCGTTTTTGCAATCTGAAATATAACCTCTATTGAATGCTTTTAACGTTTATTGCCTGGAAAGTCATCAAACCATTTTGCTCCGTAGTTGCAAAATTTTCTGATTTTAGGTTGTCCATATAGCAGAAATTTATGTTTTCATTCGCTAAGCGGGAAAAAAAGTGCGAAAGACGGAACGCTGAAGCAGAAGAAAAATAAATTTCTTTTGATGAAAAAGTTCCTCCAGAAAAGTTTCCAAAAAGTTCC